CCTCGCGCTGCGTCGCCCTCGCGCTGCGTCGCCCTCGCGCTGCGTCGCCCTCGCGCTGCGTCGCCCTCGCGCTGCGTCGCCCTCGCGCTTCTTGCGTTTTTCAATGCTGCATAATATCTCCTTGTGTGAATATACCACTGTTTCTCTATCCATTCGTCTGTTGATAGGCACTTGGGTTGTTTCCAACTCCTTGCTATCGTGAATAAAGCCACTATAAACATGGGTGTGCATATATCTGCTTGGATGGCAGTTATGGTTTCTTTCATCCTTTTAACTGAGAAAATGTAGTTACTCCTGCTATTATAATGCAATATTTCCTAATTTTATTAGAGAAGAAAATCCAAGCTGGGCAAATGGAAATGGGGAATGTGGGGTGAAAGTGGGGAGTGTGTTGACACAATGAGGGGGTCTGAAACCAACGCCATGAAACAATCTATGGATTGGTTGTTGAATAGGAAAACAATTTTGTTTATGAGCTTTATGTATAAACTACAATGAAATATTAAAAAAAAGTAGATAAAGGAAACCTCAGCTGTAGAACAGATTTGAACACAGAGCAACGTCTGTATTCTCTCAGAGGGAAACAGAGGCTGAGAAGTGAATAGAGACCTTCAGTCTGTCCTTCCCTTGAGAGTCAGCCTATTTTTTAAAACCCATTTTCTTTATTTTCAGGTGTCTTTGGGACTGCTGCTAGCCGTTGGCCTACCTTTCGCCTTCAGCCTGTCTCTAGCCCTCAGCCTGCCTCTAGCCCTCAGCCTGCCTCTAGCCCTCAGTCCATAGCACATGAAATGCAAATTGGTGCAATTACTTTCCAGGTTGCTATTGGCGATATCACCAAAGAGAGGGCGGATGTGATTGTCAATTCAACAACAAAGACATTCAATGGGAAGTCAGGTATGTTCTTTAAGAGATTTACTTGGCTATTCCTAGCAACATGAAGTTTGGAAAGGGAGCTATGGCTATCACTTCCCTGAATAGACAGTTTTGTAGAAGATATTTGAGTTCTGAAATCAGGAAAATCTGAGTTTGAATGCCAGCAGTGCCTCTTATATTGTGTAGTTCTGACTAAATCACTTATGCTCTCTGAGTCTCTATTTTCTTTCTTGTCAAATGCCTACCTGTCCCAAGAGGAGTTAAAAGGGTGTGGTAGTGTCTTTGACCTCAGTAGACACTTTGTCCCTGACAGCTCCCATGCCTTGTACAGTCTGAAATATTAAAATTCCTACTGGCAAGTAGTTGCACTGCCAATCCAAAGGCAAGTGGTTCAAACCCACCAGCTGCCCTGAGGGAGAAAGATGTGCAGATTCCTCCTATGCAATTTACAGTCTCTGAAAACCTGCTAGAAGATCAGCTCTGAGGCAGTTCTAATTCAGTCACACGTCACAACATTTTATGTAACTTGGGGCACACAGCTCACTTCCTCTATTCTTACATTATAGTGCCATAAAAGTGAAATCTCTTTTTCTTAATTTTCTGAAAAATATTATACTGCCCCCACTTGTGTACACTATTGAGCCTCTCTGTATGTCTATTTATTGATAACTTTACCCGAGGGTTGTGCAAGCTGTTAAGTGTTGTATTATTACTAACTGGAAGGTTGGCAGTTGAAACGCACTCACTGGCACCTGGGAAGTCAGGCTTAGTGATCTGCTTCTGAAAGGTCACAGCCTTGAAAACCCTCTGGACTTTTCTCCATGCTCAAAGGTCACCAAGAGTCAGAACTGACTCTATAGCAACGAACAATAACATGAATTATATATATATATATATACACACACACACATATAAATATATATTTTGTTGTTAAGTGCCATTGAGTCACCCATAACGACCCTATGTACAGCAGCTCTGAACCCTTCCCTGCCCTGAACCAATCTCACTAACTCTGATGCACCAACCCCCATCGCCCCATTTACTGTTTCAATTCATCTCATCTGGGGTCTCCCTCTCCTGCACTGTCCGTCCGCCCTTCTGAGCATGATATCCTTATCCAAGGACAGGTCCCTCCTGGCCATGTGCCCAGAGTATGTGAGACAGAGCTTCAAAATCCTAGCCTCCAAGGAGAAACTTACATATAGTGATTAAATAACTTAGTATTTATTTAATAGTTTTGGAATGCTAGGCTCTGTGCTAAGTCCTTCTCCTGGCTTATGTGCCTGTGATGAAAGCACTACCCCAGTCTCTGTGTGACAGGTGAACTGATTAGTCACATGAATCAGAACTGACTCTCTAGCAACTATAACATGAATACTGTAGATCTATGTATATGTATTTGATGATTAAATAACATTTATTTGTGTCCCTGTGAAGGAGGTATGACACCGATCCTTGTGTGACTGATGAACTGATTAGTCACATATTAACTATTAAGTGGTGGACTTAGCACCTCAGATGCTGTCCAAATGCGAAGTCTATGGTATGAACCTTTCAGCCCAGCTGTTTTAGATGTGTTCCAAGTGAGGAATCTTGAACCTTGATTGGGAGGGCCATTGAACTGAAACCAGCAGACTAGCTGTTTAATTGTGAAAGGAAAAATGAAACTAAGTGACCAAATGAAACAACTACTTAAAATTATAAATTTACATAAAATTCTCAACGTTGTGATCTCGGATCCATGCTTCATGATAGCAAAAATTTTTACAAGAACAGCTTTACCTGTCATTTATAAAATTGAAGAGTAGAGGGCAATTTATTTTTTCCAAATAACTGAACAAATACTGAGAAAGGGTTAAAATCTGAATCCTTTAGTCGCTTCCCCCTTTCCCTGGTGTCTTAAGAGGTTTCCTCACTGCAGGTCATTCAGTCCACTGTGACTTCAGAAATCCTGCGAACTGTTTTCAAGACTGCAAAATTTCTTTACATAAACAGACATCAGATAAACTTACATGTCCACCGAAGAATGTCTCACAGTCAGAATTTATAATTTGTCCTTGTAGTTTAGAGATTTTCTTTAAACTCTAAGAATAATAGTGAAACCCTGATTTGTGGTATAAATCACCCTGAAATTCAAACAACAGTGAGTGAACACTGTGGGGTGCGTGACACTCAGTCTGACGCCTGTTGATGCATCGTCAGAATATAAGCACTTCTCCTCTTATAATCCTGGGACAGTATTTATGCTGAGGCAAAGGCCTTTCTGGGCAACACCACCAACATTACAGACAGAAGAGTACCAGCAGGTTTGACCAGGATGTGGATCAACCTGAGCATGATGGTTGTTAACAGAAAAGGTGGTCTAGTTTGGACAGATAGGTTTAGAAAAAATTCTTGAATTCTGACTCATTCTTGTTATCACCAACCTGTCTTATTTATTTAGGGGTGTCCAAAGCGATTTTAGAAGCCGCCGGCCCCGCTGTGGAAGATGAATGTGCTGCATTAGGTATGATTATTTATTCCTTTTTGCTACAATCTATCAAAAAAGTAAAGAGCCAATCAAAGCGCAGGTGACATAGTGTGTTGTATGCATTTTGCTGTTAAACAAAAGGCCATGGGTTGGAATCCACCTGTTGTTCTGTGGGAGAAAAAGGAAAAGTCTGCTCTCATAAAGATTTGGAGCCTTGAAAACCTCAATGGAGGGTCACGATAAGTCAACATCGACTCAATAGCAGTGTGCTTTTGTTGTTGTTATTATCAGGGTTTGATGTGACATCTGTGGTGAGCAGTTCATGCAATGAGTAATGAGTCCTTTGCAAAGAAGATTCATTGAGTAGTTAGCTGTTTACAAGTTGTTCCCAACTTGTGGTGACAAAATGCAACCTTCGATGGTTGGGGTTCAGACAGCTGTGATCTTTTAAAAAAACAAATATTTTATTGGTTTGCATATGATCATTTATATACATCACATTTTGTACATGTACTTTGTGTTTTATACAATCATTCGTATACGTTATGTTTCATTCATGTACCTTGTGTTTTATATAATAATTCACCAGCATTATGTTTTATATAATTAATTACAATTGCTCTTGGTACCAGCAGTCAGGAAATCAGGAGATGTATTGCACTGAGAAGCACCATGGGAAAATCAGCAGTCAGGGACCTCTCCAAATTATTGAGGAATAATGATGTCAGTTTGAAGACTAAGGTGCATCTGTTTCAGGCCATTGTCTTTCTGATCACACCTGAGAGCTGGACAATGAATAGAGATGACAGAAGAAGGATTGATGCCTTTGAGGTGTGGTGTTGGAGAAGAGAACTGAACATCCCATGGATGGCCAAAAGAACAAATATGTCTTGGAGAGGGTGCAGCCAGAGTGCTCTTTGGAGGCAAAGATAATGAGGCTTTGCCTCACATACTTTGGGCATGTTGCTAGGAGGGGCTTATCCTTGGATACAGACATGATGCTCGGAAAGGTAGAAGGTTTGGCAAAGGAGAGGAAGACCTTCACCAGGTGGATTGACAGGGTGGGTGACTGCTGCAATGGGCTGTCCTGTGTTAGGAAGTGTGAGGATGGCTCAGGATAAAAGAGAGTTCAGATCTGTTGTTCATAGGGTTGCTATGAGTTTTACTCTACTCAATGACACTTCACCACCACCACCACCACCACCACCACCACCACCACCATTGCTCTGTGTCTGTTTCAAGTCCCCATTGGACATTTCCCAATCCTTCATGCCCCTTCCACCCACCAACCTCTGCTCTCCCAGTTCCCTTTCTCTCTTGTTGTGTCTCTCTTACTTCCCTCCCCCTTCCTCCTGCACTGTAGTGATTTACAGAACTCTCATTGGCTGAATGTTGGAAGTAATTTCCTAAGCCTATTTTCTGAGTCAGACCTCCCCCCAACCCCTTGCCTTAGTTTGGAAGTGCCACTGAAACCTTTTTAAACCTCTTAGTAGCATGCATGTCTCCACTGATGGATGGTGGCTAGCCCTGAGGGGCATTGGCTGAGCCTTTAACCCTGTTTTCCTGCATCAAATCTGAGAATTCCTCCACTGCCTTGGGATAACTGGAGAGCAGGTATGAGGTGGTGTGATGTGGTGGTTGTAAAGGAGGAATTCTTTATCCCTCCACTATTTGTCTTCTCCTTTCTAAGTATTAAAAAGAAACCAGACCTTGAACCTAAACCAGGCTTCACTGAGTGCCTGACGGAGGGAACCTGACGCGTGTAGCATGTCTTATCTGTGAGAAAGTTCTAGCAATAAAGAGGGTGGTCATTAATGACTGGTGGTTGCGGGGGAAGGGGAAGGGGAAGAATATGGAAAGTCTTTAACCCTGTAGGATTAGGCAAATTATTTTTTACTTTAGTTCTACTTCTTTTCCTCCCACCCCCAGAGAAGGATCTTTTTTATTCAAGTTACTGCAACTAGGAAACCAGAGGGGAACCATAGGCTGAGACAAATAATATCTACCGCCTTTCCAACAGAACCAGGGGAGAGGGTGGATCTATATTTTCACTGGTCAACATGTGCCATCCCTTCTCACTCTGCTGCAACATCCTAGAGGCAGGGCCCCACCTTTGCTGGGTCTCATAATGGTACCCCAGCATGTTGTGTCCCAGCTCCTTCTCTATGAAAAGCATCTTGGGGAGGAGAGTGTGGGGGTACAGAGGGAGGCAATAAGGATAGACATTTGGCACTAGTACCAACAATAGTAACGATGGATGTCTAAGAGTTAGACCTTTTTTTGTTGTTGTATACCATCGAATCTAATCCAATTGGCACAGAAGGAGATTGCCCCACCTTCTCCAGCGGAGCATCTGGGGGATTTGAACCTCACGCCTTCAGGATTGCAGCACAGCCTCTTGCTAAGTCACCAGGGCTCCCTTAGAGTTGTGCTTCCTATAACACATCTCCAAGTAACCAACTTTCCAATCCTTCAATTGAACAAGTGTGCAGTCTGGCTGGAGGAATAGGGGAGATCATAACTATTCTTCAAAACTAGGACTTCACAGAGTAGGCAGTGAGCTAAGGGGGTGCTTTGAAGAAGCCATAGTGACCCACATCTGACAATACTTGCTACTATGTCTGACACAGTAAACGTAATACACTTCTCCCTTCTGTGATGATGATGTTATCTCTGGAGGAAACAAAAATGAGGACATTATTAATAAGGATTAATGCCTCAGAAGGAGCCCTTGTGACACATGGCTAAGCTCTTAGATGCTAACAGAAAAGTCTGTGATCAAAGTGTTACTTCCACTAAATAATGTGCTGCGCTTTTGTTTCCATTTTTTATCTTTTCTTTTTTCCAGCTGCACAGCCTCACCAAGATTTTATAGTGTCACAAGGTGGCCACTTAATGTGCAAGGAGATAATTCATGTTAACGGAGACAGTAACGTGAGGAAGACCATTTATAAGGTTCTCCGAGAGTGTCGAAGGAGGCGGTACAGCTCTGTTTGCTTTCCAGCCATCGGAACAGGTTTGTAGTCTCCTGTCAACCAAATATTTCTAGTAATTCATGTTCTTTTAGAGTTCATTTATTTATTTTCTTCCCCCCCCCCCGATTGATAGTTTATTGGTTGTTTTAAGGGCCAGAACACAGACATGTTGAACAACTTGTAAATGATTCTTAAAGTATGTATAAAAAAATCTAAAAAACCAGATTGTCATAATTATTTTCCAAATTCCAGTGCCTTTCCAGCTTTAAATTTGGAGAAAAATTTTCATTAAGAAGAAAATTAAAAAAAAAGAAGAAAATAAGTACCGATATCTTTGATTGTTGATTAATGGTCATATCGCTAAGTCCAACTAATTAGCAATTTATTATCACACACACTACACACTCAAATTTTCAACTGTTCACAGTACATAACAAAGTTATGAGGGAAACTGGACTACTAAGACCAAAGATGTTACAGAATCCACACAGTTCTGACAAGAAGAAAATCAGGAGGAGGGAATGGTTATCTTTAAGATATGGTTAAGAATGGTTACGGCATTGAAGTCTATGGGGGAGAGAATAGTCTAAAAAGTATTATATTTTAGGGCATTATTTTTATCGTAGGAGTATGCAATGAGGGTTGCAGAGTGGATTATATTGGGGGTTGGGGGGGGGGTTTGGGGAGGTACGGAGGAATTGTGTACCAATGAGGGAGTTTTGCTTTTCAAGGAGAGGAGCAAAAGGGGGGGGAGGGGTTTGTGCCGGGAGAAGGGTGCAACAATGAATGAATGGAATCCCAAAATCTCTGTAGATGTTCATTGAACTGAAAAAATAAACAACCTAAATTAAAAAAAAAAGAAAGAATGGTTATCTTTAACCATTTACTAAACAGTATTCTAATGTATGTACCTAAAAAGCATGGAAAATAGACTTCATTTAAAATGTTCAAGTCATAAATGCATGAATATGACTCCAAATTGTCAGTAATAATATGCTCTGTATTATGGGATATAAAAACTGTCCCCCTCCCCCATGGAATGTTAGACTGACATCCAAAGCCCCCCACAATTTTAGCATGCCAAATTGTATCAGAAAATAAATAATTTGCAAATTGTCTCTCACCTCTTAAAAAATTTACACTTAAAAATGGGATGAAGAGGGATTTCCTTCTTCCTAAATATGTTTCTAGAGCTACTAAAAACTTGAATTTACAAATTGTTGATAAAAATATTCTCCTGTATTCTAACTTTGTAAATAAATCTATAATATAAAATATAAAAAGAAAAGACATGGAGAAGGGTTAAAAATATATTCCTCTGGATTGTACAAGAAGGGAGATACAGGGACCACTGAGAAGACATGGTAGACAAATATTAATCAGACTTGGCTTCTTTCTCTCCTGCTTCATCAGAAGCTGGACTCTTTATTTTCAGTTTCTCCATTTTCTGTATGTAAATCTTTAGTTTCTAGGTTAGCCACTTCAGTTTTCCCTTTCCCCTTTTGCTTGTAGTTTGTTTTTTTTTTTTTTATATCTGAAGGCTCTTCCTTTCCTGTTGCCTTTTTGGGCTTCCTCTCCACTTCTGCAGGCGGTTTAGCTGACAGCCTCTCTAATCTGCTCTTGGGTATCTTGACTGCAGGGAAGGCAGGTGCTGGGTGCCTTTGGGCTTTTGCACAGAGTCTTCATGAAGCTGGGTTGCCTGGCCACTGCCTCTCCACCTACCACCAGACGTGCCCGAGTTTTGTTTCTCTCTCTATCAAATTATTTCTGAGTCAATTTGAAAGTAATCCTAGTGGTGGAACCTAGAAAAATGGGTAATCAATTAGGCCTCATCTATAGAATCTAAGCCTCTTTTGTTCATATTTCTTCTTTGTTGTATGTTCCTTAAGTGGTTACTCATGCTTGTGACTTAATGTTATGTGGGGTTTTTTGTTGTTTTTTTTTTTTCATTCTCAAAATTCTAATTTCTAAAGAAGTATCTTAGATTAGTAGTGACTTGTGATTATACACTACTGTTCAGTCCCTGACTCCTCAAATGCCCATAAGGATTACCGTAGACATGCGTATCAATTAGTGAGGATGCCGTCCAGCACCATCCTCAGTGAAGATGAGCACATCCTTTTAGACTGTGGGCAGGGGAGGAAGAGTTAGCAAATGAATAATGTTGACAGAGAAAGAGTGTGAGTGTGAAAAAAATCCTAGAGGAGGGAGTGTGGAGGTCTATGAAATGCGCATGTCTTGCCTCCTCAATTATAAAAACATTATGATGTACTCAAAAAGAAGGACCAGATGTTTAAACCTTGCTGCTTTGTATGGTCAGTGAAGGATTCTTACCACCCTAGCCTTTTCTCCATCTATCATGAAGTTGCCTATTGGCCTTGGTGGTTTATATTCTTAATGTTGAGATGAAATCCATATTAAAGGTTGCAGTCTTTGATCTTCTGCAGCAAATGTGCCAAGTCCTCTTCACTTCCAGCAAGCAAGGTAGTATCCTCTGCACAGTGCAGGTTGTTGATAAGTCATCCTTCAAGCTCTTTCACGTAGTCCAGGTTCTTGAATGATTTGCTCTGCATGACGATTGAATAGGTATGGAGAAAAGATATCGCCCTGACGCATGCACACCTTTCTAAATGTTTCCTTGCTCTGTTTGGACAACAGCTTCTTCATCTAAATATAGCTATCCTATGAGCATGATTACTTGTTCTTAATAGATTTGGGTTTGTAGTAGGTGATTTTGTGGAAGATTTAAGGAAGAAGGGCACTGTTCTGGATTGGATACTTTAAGGAAGTAGATGAACCTTTATGATTGGCTGTCTAGAAGGAATAAGAGTAAGGCTAAGATTGAGATTGCTATGAAGTTCATATTAGTCAAGACATGCAGGTATTTTGTTATTTTTTGTTGTGTTCTGTACAATATTTATGGTTTTCTTTATGATCAGGCCTAGGGACAGTTTTGTTTTTGTCTTCATTTATCATGACTTGAGAGCAACTGTGTTGATGACGTTCTTTGCCCTCAGCGTGCATGCCAGACCAGCTCCTGACTGCCACTGGGTGCTTTCTCCTCTTTCCCAACACTAAGAACCACATTTGCGGGGAGCTCTGGTGACCCAGAGGCAAGAAGCTGCACTGCAATCCAAGAGATATGCGGTTTGAATCCACCAGATGCTCTGCTGGAGAAGGAGGGGCAATCTCCTCCTGTACCAGTCAGATCCGATTTGATGGTACACACACAAAATAATAAAAGAATGAAAAAGAACCACATTTGCCAAATTTCATCACATTGCTGACACCAGTTGAAATGTCTTTTTTTTCCCCCCAGGAAATGCTGGGAAAATCCCAACCGTGGTAGCTGATGACATAATCAATGGTATTGCAGATTTCACACAGAAACATTCTGCTGGATTACTGAAAACTGTAAAAGTTGTCCTCTTTTTACCTCATCTGCTAAATGTTTTCTGTGACAGCATGGCAAAAAGAAAGAGCCAGATGTCACCTGCCATTCAGTTCCCATCCTCTGGGACTACAGGTAAGATGTTTGAGTGAAAACTTACCATATGCATCTCTGTGAGATCACTCACAAGCTGTGTGAATGCTTACTGGAATTACAGTTTTCTCTCAGCTTCTGGCCTTTACATATAACATCCAGTTATATAAAGGAACAGTTTTAAAATATCAGACACAGTTGTCTGTGAAATGGTTATTTTTTCTGAAATGTGAAATGCTATGTGGGAGACAGGAATAGCAAATAAACGAAAAGAAAATAGAAAAGGGCAGAAAGTGCAAAGAGGAAATTGAAAAAGCCAAAACCTCAAACTCATTACTGTTAAGTTGGAATCGACTCATAGCTGACTCTCCAGTGGGTTTTCCGAGACTATAAATAGGAGAGGAAGAGATTGCTTATCTTTGTCCTGTGAAGCTACTGATAAATTCAAATGACCAGAGAGGTACTACTTTTGGATAAGCAGTGTGACTCCTTACTAAGCTACTCAAGCTCTCTGAGGAGATTGTCGTTATTGTATGCTGTTGAATAACAATCAACCCACAGCTGACCCTCTAGAAGGTTTTCAGAAGCATAAAATGACATGGGAAGGGACTGCCCAGCTTTCTTAGGCGAAGCAGCTGGTGGATTAGAACTGTGTCGTAATTCTATTTTGTGATCTCCTTTACTTATTGATTGGTATTTACCTTCAATCTTCCTATAGGTATGGACTAGCAGACAACAGTGGTTTGTTGGGAAGTCATTGCTAGACAAATTAATCTTAAATTAGAAACAGATACAAGAAGGACAAAACCATGATTGTGTGGTTTACTGTGGTTTTCTGGTTTATTACGAACAGGTTGATTCTGGGTTGCTCCTCTGAACGGGGTGTGTTTATGCCTCATGCACAAGTCTCTATGCCCACCTGCTTTTCGTTTTCCCTCCCTCCCCATTCCACTTTGTATGCACCTCTTATTCTGGACTATTGTCATGGAAATAATACTTAATCATATATTTCTTTTAGAGAGTTATTTCCCTCATCTATTTAAATGCAGTGTTCATTATTTATCCCCTCTTTTCTTACTTCTTTGGCCTATATCTTCCTCACATTGTAGCCTCTTTACTGGTGTTAAAGTAACCAGAATGGAGCCTTCTCTTGGAACCATGATTTTTACCCTTTTGAGCAGCTACACGACAAAATACTGTGACTATTGGTAGTGGCTATGTAGGTGGGTATTCCTAGTTTCCTAAAACGGACAATTGCTGAGGTATTGCAAGTAGCCATTTCAGTCAGTCCTGCTACATATATATCTATATTATATCTATATTCTGCCAGTTCTTCTGAATGTGCCAGCACACACAGCACACACAGAGAAAGTAAACAAAAAGAAAATTAATAAGTCCATCCTGCTGCCATATTGACATGTTTCCTCTCACAGATGAGGGAGTGATTTACCCCCTTCTGCCACCTAGCTCTCAGAACTGGGTGGAGCCCTGCAGAGAGATCAGCCCATCCCCCTTAAACTGGGCATGCCCACTACAAAACTCCACCTCTGGGCCAAAAAAGTAAGGGAGATCACCAATATCTAAAATCTTGCCAAGACATCACCTGCAACTAGTACAAAAATGAACTGAAAGACCTGCCACTGAACTATCTAATAGAGGAAAGAAGAGAGGCACTTTGGTCCTAAACAGTGCTGCCTAGCTAGACATCAGGTGGGATTTCATAAAGTTATGCAGGAGAGGTTGGATGGGACCATAGTACCTGGAGGGCAATAGTCATCCCACAATGGGAAAACAAGAGGGAGCATCATAGAGGTCCTTCACATAATATTGTCATGCCCTGGGACATTACATAGTTACAGCCACCTACCATCTACTAAGAAAAGACTCACATAATGTCAAGAAAGCAGCAGTCTGCCTCAGTCATCAAGGAAAAATAATTCTTTTCCTAAAAAAGCAGATCCAATGAATACCCTAGAAAAAAAGGAGAAGAAATAAGTTGATGTGAAGTTATTTGAACAGCTACAGAAGAAAATGCAAATGATGGAAAAAACAATGAAAGCCATTAAGGAAGCAAATATCCCAGAAATGAAAAGTGTTAGTGAGGAGCTGCTTGAACAACTATGGAAGAAAATGTAAATTATGGAAGCAAGATATAGATAAAGAGGTACAAGAACTTAAAAAATCATCACAAAACAGAGAGGGTACAGCCGACACAGTGCTGGCAATAACAGAAAAACATGAAAATGCAATCCAGAATATTAAGGTCAAAATGGCAGAAGAGACCAATGTGCTAGTAGGACAAAAAAGTTGAATTGAAGAGATGGAACAGAGAGTCAGTGAGCTGGAAAACAAGAGCCTTGCCGGAAGCATACTATAAGAAAAATCAGAGATGAGATGTAAATAAAATGAAGAAAACATTAGAATCATGTGTGATGACATCAAAAGGAACAACATGTGTATGACTGGAATTCCAGAACAGGTGAGTGACAGTAAAGTCATTGAGAAAATTGTGCAAGAAGTACTTGAAACAAACTTCTCAGGTATTATGAAGAACAGGAAAATCCACATTCAAAGAGAACAGAGAACACCAAATAGACTAGACTCAAAAGGAAAAATATCAAGGTATGTAATCAAGGTCTCCAAATAAAAAAATAAACAGAATATAAAGAGTAGCAAGAGAAAAACCAAGAGTCACCTACAAAGAGGAAAGAATTAGTTTACATTCTGCAGAAACCATGTGAGCTAGAAGGCAATGGATGACATCTACAGAAAGTTGAAAGAAAACAATTACAGCCAAGGATCCTATACCCAGCAAGGCTCTGCATCAAATATGAAGGAGAAATTAGATCTTTTGCAGAAAAGAATGAACTTAAGGTATTTGTGAAAGCAAGACAAAATTACAAGAAATTTTAAATGCAATGCTTCACATGGAGACACCAAAGGAAGGTGGATGGACCATAGTAACCAGAAACAACAGAAAAAGAAACATGGCAAAACGGCAATGGTAAAACCTGGCCTTACAGTAATCACACACTTAATGTGAATGTACTAGATGCACCAATTAAAAGAAAAAGAGAAGCAGAATAGATAAAAAAGCAAAGCCCATCAATATGTTGCCTAATATATATATATATATATATATATATATATATATATATATATATATATATATATATATATATAATGAAAAGAAAGACACACTCAAAATCAAAGGCTGGGGGAAAAAAATATACCAAGCAAATGGCAACTACCAAAAAAAAAAAAAGCAATGGCAATACTAATCTCTGATAAAATAGTCTTCAGAATGAAAACCATCACAAAAGACAAACATACTGATAAAGGCATAAAAGATAAAAAAGACATAACCTTGGTCAATATTTATGCACCAAATGATAGACCTGCAAAATATACAAAATAACAGTTAATAGAATTGAAGAAAGAGAGAAATAGCACTACAATAGTGGTAGGAGATTTTAACACACCACTATCACCAAAGGATAGGTCAAGTCAAAAGAAACAATAAAGATGCAGAAGAGCTAAACTATATAATCAGCCAACTTGATGTTGTGGATGTATTCAGGGTACTTCACCCAACTAAAACTCAATTCACTTTCTTAAGTGCACATGGTACATTCTCCAGAACCAATCATATAGCCTACTATATGATTATACACAAAGCAAGACTCAACAAATAAAAAACATTGAAATAATGCAATGTGTCTTCTCAGACAACAATGCCATAAAACTAGAAATTAACCACAGGAGGGTAAAGCTTACAAAACCACCCATGTGGAAGCTAAGTAACTCTCTACTAGAATGTGACTGAGTTATAAAAGAAATAAAAAAGTTCATTGAAATAAATGAAAATACAACATATCAAAACCTCTGGGATGCAGCTAAAGCAGTCCTCAGGGGGAAGTTCATAGCTATACATGCTCATATTTAAAAAAGGAAGAAAGGAGGGGGAAATCAATGATCTAACTCAACACCTTCATCAGCTAGAAAAAGAATAACAATCTAATCTTATAGCCTCTAGAAGAAAATAAATTATAAGGACAAGAGCTGAAATCAGTGAGAAAGAAAACAGATAAAACAATTGAAACCATCAATAAGACCAGAAGCTGGTTTTTCAAAAGGACCAATAAAATTGACAAATCACTGGCAAACTTAACAAAAGAAGGGGGAGGGGGGAAGAGAAGACACAGATAACTTGATTAAGAAATGATAGAATTGTAACAGAACCAGATGAGATGAAATGAAATAAAAAAATACTATGAAAAGCTATACTCTGATAAACTGAAAAACCTAGAGGAATGGACAAATTTCCTTGATTCTCATGCTTCACCCAAATTGACCAGAGAAGATGTAGAACACTTGAACAGAACCATCACAGAAGAAAAAAAGTCCTGGACCAGATCGCTTCACAGCTGAATTTTACCAAACATTCAGAGGTCTATAACCAATTCTACTTAAAGTATTTAACAAAATAGAAGAAGAAGGAACCCTCCCAAAGTAATTCTATGAAGCAAGCATAACCCTAATACCAAAACCAGGCAAAGATATTACCAAGAAAGAAAATGACAAATATCTCTCATGAATATTAGATGCCAAAAATCCTTAACAAAATCCTAGCCAATAGAATTCAAAAGCACATAAAAAAATAATTCATGACCAAGTGGGATTCATAACAGATATGCAACGATGGCTCACCATATTAACAAAGCAAATAACAAGAATCATATGCTCTTAGCAACTGATGCAAAAAAGGCATTTGACAAAAATCCAACACCCCTGCCTGATAAAGGCACTTAGCAAAATTGGAATAGAAGGAAATTTCCTCAACATGGTGAAAAGTATATATACAAAACCAAGAGCCAATATCATTCTCAATGGAGAAAGTCTAATAAAAGTATTTTCCTTGCAGAGACCAGACAAGAATGCCCATTGTCACCACTTCTATTCAATATTGTATTGGAAGTGCTTGCTAGGGTAATAAGACAAGAGAATAAAATAAAATGCATCCAGATCCGCAAAGAGGTGGTTAAACTGTCGGTATAAACAGATGATATGATAGTGTACACAGGAAATCCCAAACACTGAACAAAATAACTGTCAGAGCGAGTATGCAATTTAATAGAGTGGCAGGGTGTATAATTAATATCCAAAAATCAATGGGATTCATCCACTGTAACAAAGAGAACTCAGAGAAGGAAATTAAGAAAGCAATACCATTTACAATGTTGGTGTTGTTACGTGCCTTTGAGTCATGTGAGACTTATAGCAACCCTATGTACAACAGCTCTGAACCCTGCTCTATCTGAGCCAATCTTATCATCCCCGATACACCTACCCCCATTACCCAAGTGACCGAGTCAATCCATCTCATCCAGGGTCTTTCTTTCTTGAGCTGTCCCTCCACCCTCCCAAGCATGATGTCCGTCTCCAAGGACTTTTTCCTCAAGTCAACTATGATTCAGAGTAACCCTGTGAACAATCAATCTGAATCTTGCTCTAGCCTGCACGTCCTCCATTTCTGCCATGTGCAAGCCCACTGTGGGAGTCCTCTGAGTCAGTCCATCTCACTGAGAGTCTTCCTCTCTTTTGTTGACCTTCTACGTTTCCCAGCATAATATCTTGCTGTGAGGACTGATTCTCCCTGAAAATGCTCCCAAAGACAAGCCCAAGCCTACCACCTTGGAATTGATTTTAACAGGAGGAGGCTGCCTAATCTTTATCACACTGGTGGAGAATGGTTAGTGGATTCAGACCACCTTTCCATTAACAAACCAGTGTGGAACCCACTATGGCACCAGTGTTCATAATTTCTCTTTAGAGAGAAGAAAAATGAAGATTTAGCATTTGTATTACTTGCTAACTGTCACATTGGTAAGAGAGTGAATTGCTCACGTCTTTCAGTTTCAAGCCTTGCTGGCTTTCAGCTGTATAATTTCTTGGCATGAAAGGGAAAAGGTAAGAGGAAACCCTTCACCCTCTAACTTTGCGCTGTTGCCTGTTGTAGTCAGTAGAAAGAAAACAGCTGTTCTAAAAGGCCTCCAAGATCTAGGTTTTAAAGCTATTAGGCCGAAAGATCCCAAAGAGGATGCACAGTGGGAAAAGGAGAGAATATAATTTGAAGAAATTGCACATAAGGAACTTCTCCAGAAGAAGTCTTTTGAGATGAAAGTGGAAAGGAGCTTATAATTAGGCTCAGGTGCCTCACTGTGACACTGAAACCCAATTCTTAAATGGACTTTCTAAACAGAAAAAGGATGCCCTAGATTCCTTCCTACACCTGATACACATTTCCCTGAAAGAGGCAAATTTTAGATGTCTTTGAAAGGAAGAAATCTTTTCGTGTGTATCTCTGGTGTTCCATCCTATGACATTTTCCTCACTAATGCTATCTGTTCTTATGTAGGGTAGTCATGTCATCATGGCAATTTAATACTTTAAAAGTTTCCAGAAATCACCAGAAAGAAAAGAAGAATGGGCAGGAGCATCTTATGTGAAAGTATTCTCTAAGCATTTCTGCTATTTTTTTTTGTAAATAGTGCTTTTACTTCTTAGTTTCTGTTGTTTTTGTAGTGGACCATCTAGTTGGAAGAGATCTATAACTGACCTTCCAATGGGTTTTTCAGAGACAGTTAATTGCATGGGAGGAGACTGTTCATTTTTCTTCTGCAGAATAGCTGGTGGATTTGAACTGTGTGCCTTTGGGATAGCAGCGCAGCTTCTTATCACTAGGCCACCAGAGCTCTGGTTGTTAGTTTAGAAAAAGGGATACAAAACAAGGCCTTTAGTTCTCATATGCTCAGGGTATATTCCAAGTAGTGGAATAGCTGGGTCATATGGAATATCTATGTTCAGCTTTTTGAGAAAGCGCCAAACTGCCTTCCAGAATGGTTGCACCATTTTACAATCCCACAATGTATAAGAGTTCCTTTCTCACCACATCCTCTCCAGCATCTATTACTTGCTGCCCTGTTAAACTTTGCCACTCTTACTGGAGTGAGATGGTACCACATTGTGATTTTGATTTGCATCTCTCTTATTGCCAGTGATTTGGAGCATTTCTTCATTTGTCTATTTGCCATTTCGAATATCTTCCTCTGTGAAAATTCTTTCCATATCTTTTGCCCTTTTTGTAATTGAGTTATCAGTCTTTTTCTGTGGAGGCCCAGGAGTATTCTGTAAACTTTTGTTATAAGACTCTTTTCTAAGATGGTATTACTAAATGTTTGTTACCATTCTGTAGGTTTTCTTTTTATCCTGTTGGAAAAAGTTTTTGATGTGCACAGAAATTTAATCTTTAGAAGGTCCCATGCATCAATTTTATCCTCTTTAGATTGTGCATTTTTGGTTGTATTTGACAGTCTCTTTATACCTTCTTATCTTGATCTCTCACTTCTAAGTTTGTCTCTTATGACATTTATGGTTTGGGGCTTTACTCCCAGGTCTCTGATCCACCTTGAGTTGATTTTTGTATATGGTGTGAGATGTGGATCCTGTTTGGACACCAATGTTCATAGCAGCATTATTCACCATCGTAAGAACATGTAAACATCCCAAATGTCCAACCACAATTGAATGGATTGAGAAATTATCATACATTCACACAATGGAATACTATGCAGCATGCGGGAGCAATAACTTTGTAAATTATTACCCAACTTGGGAGGGACTGGAGAGCATTATGCTGAGTGAACTATCTCAGTCCCGCAAAGATAAATACTGTATAAAACTGTTATTGTAGAACGAGTATAAGGATCCAGGAGGGGTGGGAGAGGCTGGAAGCAGAGGGATGTGTATGTACAGAGGGAAGAGGGGATTAATCATTGGGTTGTACAATTTGATGGGTATGGGAGGTGAGGGAAATTGAAAGAATTTGTTCAAATTTGTATTAGAATTTTTTAAATAAACTAGTGAAAAACAACAAAACAAAGTCTTTTAGCAAGAAACCAGACTTCAAGAGAAAGAAAGAAAGAAAGAAAGAAAGAAAGAAAGAAAGAAAGAAAGAAAGAAAGAAAGAAAGAACCACTCAAAAGTGATAACATGAGCACATAAATGAAGTGAAATTTGCCTTCTTGTTTTTGTGCCTATTTCTTGGGGAAATTTTAATATCAAGGTATAGTAAATCTAAGTTTGCCTAAATATTTCAGCTAGACAATGAGTTATGATCTTATGTGCCATGTTGGTATCAGAACCGTTCGCTTCATCTGTGTTTACAAATTGAAGGTGATGAAAGAAGCCATCTGTGGAATGTGTGGACATACCCCCACCCCACGTCTAAGTGGGGAACAAGAGCCTGAGGAAGTACTCTGAGTTTCAAGGACCCCTGGGACTCAATCTTGTGTTTTTACTAAATGCTGACTTTGCAGGTGATGTTCCTAAGCACTGGACTTGCATGAATCAGCAGCCTCTCCGTGTGGTTCAGCTACAACCTGGGCAATCAGAATACAACACTGTACAGAGAAAGTTCAATCAGACCTGTGCTTTGCACAAAATAGAGAAGGTAAGGTTATATTTAAAGATGGGTTTTTTTAAAAAAATAATGTAGGAGGAACTAACATGGAAAAGAACCATTTTTGCTTTCCTTTTTACCTTCTTGTATTAATTTAAATTGGAATTAAACTCACCTAAACTTTGTAGACTTCAAATCACATGGCTATTGCTGCTGTTGTGTGCCTTCAAATCAACTATGACTCATAGTGACCCTATGCACAATAGCTCTGAATACTCCTCTATCCTGAACCGCTCTCACTGACTCTGACACACGTCCTCTCATTACCTCACTTACTGTGTCAATCCATCTAATGCATGGTCTTTCTCCCCTGTGCTGTCCCTCTAACCCTTCTGAGCATGATATCCTTCTTCAAGTACTGGTGCCCAAAGTATGTGGGACAGAGCCTCCAAGGAATAGCTTCTCCAGGATAAACCTGTTTGGTAGTCCATGTTCAGTACTCTTCTCCACAAATCAAAGGCATCAATTTTTCTTCTGTCATCTTTGGTCATTGTCCAGCTTTCTGATTCATAGTAAGTAATTGGGAAGACCATGGCATGACATTAGAAGTAGGAAATGAGAATCTAAAGTCAAATATGCTTTTCACTGTAATTCACAAGAATGGATTAAACAATCTGATCTGACTGTACTACCAACAGTGTCAGCTTCTCCTTAAGGCCAGAGTTCTCAGCATAAGCATAATGTCCTCCAGGGTCACCCATTTTGAATAATATTGCATGAGTTCCTTGTTTTTCAATGCAGCATAGTATTCCATTGTGCGAATATACCACAGCCTCTCTATCCATTTGTTTTTTGATGGGCACTTAGGTTGTTTCCAACTCCTTGCTATCGTGAACAAAGCTGTGATAAACATGGGTGTGCATATATCTGCTTGGATGTCAGTTATGGTCTCTTTGGGGTATATTTCCAGTAGTGGAATTGCTGGGTCAAATGCTATCTCTATTTGTAACTTTTTGAGAAAGCGCCATACCACCTTCCACAGTGGGTGCACCATTTTACACTCCCATCAACAGTGAATAAGGGTTCCAGTCTCTCCACAGCCTTGTAAGCATTTGTTGCTTGCTGTTCTGTTAAATTTTGCTATTTTGACTGGGGTGAGATGACATCTCATAGTTGTTTTTGTTATTATTTGTTTCTAAGACATATTCTCTCATATTTTCTGCTCTCCTATCATAGAGTCTCTGAATTTTATGTGCTCTCACGGTTCACAGCATCTTCTTAAACTGCTGTTTATTATTCTACAAGATGATAAATTGTTACTAAATTTAAAGCTTGTTGATGTAGGGATCCAACAAAATCCTTGTTTCATAGTAATATTTAGTAGATGATTACTGAGTAGATAACAAAAGTAATTTTTAGGGGAAAAGAACATCAGTTGTGTGCCGTATTTTAAGAAGATCAAGAAGGACAAAGTTCCAAAGAAGGAACTGTTCGTGGTTTGAAATGCTATTGAGAGATTTAGGGAGAAATAGCCATTAGATTAGGCTAGATAAGACTCCTTAGGTGGTAGAAATGGTTAATCACATGACTACCAGCTGCTTCTGCAAGGTCAAGACCATGAACCCTGATGCGAACAGTTAAATTCTGAGGCCCATGGGATCCATGAGTATCAAAATGATAGTGAGGATACTTGGTAAATGGTATACAATTAGGTGTTGAATTGTAACCAAATTAGGAGCAGTGCAGAAACAACTGCCATAGAATAAGTTTGGAGATGATGCTTTAAGTAACTCATGAACAACTACAAAATTTTGAGTATGCATTGAAATGTTTAGTAAATCCTTTAAGGATCCCAGAGGACATCTCTAGTTCAGTAAGCTTTTAGATGCAGGTTCTAAGTTCTGGTAAATAGAATACTTGCTAATGCGCATTCTTCCAAAGTTTAGAAACTAATAGATAGCTGTAGAGAATCTTTTGTTCTGAAAAAACCTGCCTGTTTTCTGACTTTGCTGTTCGTTTGCATTTCGCCCTTCACTTCCTCCTTTCTAATGTTCCCCATTTTAAAAGCTATAGGAAATACAGTATACACCCTAAGGTCATTTTCAAAATTATTTGCCTTTTGTTATCTGCAGATTGAGAGAATAGAGAATGTAGATCTCTGGCAGTGCTACCAGGTAAAGAAAAAGCAGATGGATGCCAAGAATGGTCATACAAATAACGAGAAAATCCTTTTCCACGGGACAGATGTTGACTCACTGCCACATGTCAATCAGCACGGCTTCAATCGCAGTTATGCTGGGAAGAATGGTAAGGAAGGGAGTCAGCTGACAGCTCAGAGTGAGTGAAGTGAATGGGTAGTTCTGCTGGTGAGTTTACTTCCAAGCAATGTAGATCTCAATGACAGCCACATTGTCATTGTCAGCACAGAGCTCTGTGTGCTACCCCTGTAAGAAGCCTGGCATCCTTCTGAGGGCAGGCGGTGTGGATTTTAGAAATGATGGAAGTGCCTTTGGTTGGAAAGAACATAATTGCTTTTAACCTGTTGCCAGACTTGGATGTGATTCTCCATAGTGTGCAAGTTTCTGCATTCTTAGAAAGGCATCTGTGTTTCTCTTTACAGCTGCAGCCTATGGAAAAGGAACCTATTTTGCTGTAGATGCCAGTTATTCTGCTGATGATAGATACTCCAAACCAGACAGGAACAGGAGAAAACATGTGTATGTTGCACGCGTTCTCACTGGAATCTACACACGTGGAAGTGCACAGTTACTTACTCCTCCATCCAAGAACCCGGACAACCCCACAGAGCTGTTTGACTCTGTCACAGACAATACACAGAACCCAAAGATATTTGTGGTGTTCTTTGATTATCAAGCTTATCCTGAATATCTTATAACTTTCAAATCTTCTGGTCGTGTATTGCCTTGAAGTCAATCCTGACTCATAGTTACCCCATGTATGCAGAATGAAACTGCTCCATAGGGCTTTCAAGGGAAGTAGGTTTCCAGGTCTGTTTCTACAGTACCTTGAGTGCATCTGAACTGACACTCTTGCTGCCATTTGCCCAGACTTAACTGTTACTGCCACACAGAGACTTCTTCCAAATGTTAGATATCATTTAATCACTTAATCAAAAGAACATTTTATAGATTCTCTTTTTCTTTGATTAGTCTATGCACATAAAGTTGTCCCATTTAGGTGGTGAAATGCCAAAAACTACATTTTGATAAGGTGTATGTCTCCAAGTGGTGACATACCTCTCTGGTGAGCAAACTGGCAAATGAAAATGAAGAAACAAAGTGACACAATTATAGCTGTCCACAAATACCAAATCCAGAGAAGAGGAAATCATGTATTCCTTTTTTTCTATATGGAAAGAAATAGTATGGATTACTTTTAGGTCAAGATGTCATGTTCTTGTTGGAATATACTAAGACATCAAATTGTGTCTTACTTATTCACAGTGTAAAGTGAATAGACTGTTGTGCATCGATAACCACTGGGAATTGAATCCCTTTAAGAAATACTTGTCAAAGGACAAATACTGCACAATACCATTACTATGAAAATAAGGAATAGCTAGGAAGATGTGAGGAGATTGAGAGAACAGAGATAGAAAGTCCAGTGAATGAACATGGTAAGGAGTCAGGAAAAGGGAGTAACATCCAGGGAAGAATTGACCAAGGGACAATATGTCTATTGCAATTAGTAAATGTATAAATGTTCAGAAGAGTAAGGGGAAGCAGAGAAGGGGGAGGGGGAAAGAGTAATTAATTATATTAACACAAGGTATATGAATGAGTAAACATATAAAACATAAATAATATAAAACATAATGTATGTGAATGAAAAATAAAAGGCATAAACAACAGCTGTGAGGCCAACATAAAAGAACTAAGCCTACTGTGAAGGGACACTGGTGATATATAATCTGACCATGGAGAACCATGGAGACAGAGCCAGAATTAAAGGTTTTGCCTTTGGGATGATTGAAAGAAGAGCTGACTTGTGACTACTATGAGACAAAGCTTGCTGGAAGATTGAGAAAACCAGAGGTTTCTTGCATTTATGTTGCTGGGCTGAACCTTGGACTTGCACTTATGGATTAAGAAGCTGACAGAACTGAGTCTTGCTCTTGATTAACAGGCTTGGGTCTACTGTTAACTAAAATTTGAACTTTCACTGTGTAATATCCTTTGCTTCCCCCACTCCCCAACCTGTTTCCTTAATAAACCCCACAACTGTGAGTAAAGTCAAGTCTGTGAGTCAATTTGCAATGGGTAAGTGCAGAAACATGGAGGTGAGAAACTACATCTGACCTTGTAGCATTTTGTTTGATACTGTGGATGTTATTGATGGGGACAGTTCTCCTTTGGGAAGCTGGTAGAAGTCAGAGTTGGCTTTCCCTAAGTTGCCTTTGCTTTTTGTTACAGATGCACATAAAGATATTATTTTAATAGACCCAATCATCTAATTTAACCTGTGTAGATTATGCATTTTAGATTATATTTGATAGTCTGTATATGCCATCTCAATGTTAGCCATACCTTTTTATGAGCCACACAAATTGTTTGCATAGTCAATAAAGCACAAACACACATTCTTATGGTATTCCCTGCTTTCGGCAAGGATCTATCTGAAATTGCCAATGATAATAACCCTGCTGCCAAAACATCTTCCAAATCCCGCTTGAACTTCTGGAAGGACCCTTTCTATGTACTTCGTCTAGACATCTTTGGTTGATCTTCAGCATTATTCTGCTTGCAAATGATATGAATTATATTGTTTGATAGTTTCCACATCCTGTTGGATCACCTTTTCTGGGAATCGCAACAAATAGGGATTTCTTCCCATCAGTTGGCCAGACAGCTGTCTGCCAAATATCCTGGCATAGACTAGTGAGTGCATCTAAGGCTGCATCTGCCTTTGAAACATATCAATTGGTATACCATTGATTCCTGAGGCTTTATTAATTTTTTTTTCAGTGCCTTCATTACACTTTGAACTTCTTCCTTTTTTACCATTGGCTCTTAATCACATAGTATTTCTTGAATTATTTCAGTGTCAGTCAGTTATTTTGGTACAGTAATTATGTGTATTCCCTCTGTCTTCCATAGGGTTTTCATCAAAGAAGAACTAGATATATGTTGGAAACCTATTCCTCCACCAAAAAGCTAATATGTGAACAGAATAAGGGAACACTACATGGTTTAAAATTAAGAATGGTGTATATCCTAGAATAATAGATGCATTGCAGTGTGGACTGGGGGAGAGGGAAGGGAGAAAATGTGCAACAATGTATAAATTTAAAACCCAACCTTTTTGTAAAAATTGATTTTTAATCACAATTTAAAATTTCCCCCATTCCTATTCAATCTTTATGCTGAGCAAATTATTGACAAGCTGGACTCTATGAGGAATGTGGCATCAGGATTGGAGGAAGATGCATTAGTATGCAGCTGACACAACCTTGCTTGCTGAGAGAGAGGAGAATTTGAAATACTTTCTCTAGAAGGTCAAACACTGCAGCTTTCAGTATGGATTGTGTCTCAATGTCAAGAAAACGAAAATTCTCACCACGGGACTGATAGGCAACATCATGATAAATGGTGAAAAGACTGGAACTGTCATTGATCTCACTGTGATCCACAATCAATACACTTGGTACCAGTAGTCAGGAGATCAGGGGACATTGCACTGGGAAAGTCTGAGTCAAGGACCTCTCCAAATTACTGAGGAGCAAGGATGTCAGTTTGAGGACTAAGTTGTGCCTAATTGGGACCTTTTCAATCACTTGCTATGCATCTGAGATCTGGAATATGAATACGGATGATGGGAGAAAAAAAAATGCCTTTGAACTGTGTTGTTGGAGAAGAGTACTGACTAGCCCATGTACTACCAAAAGAACAAGCAGATAAGTCTTGGAGAAAGTGATGCAGATTGCTCTTTGGACGCAAGGATAGTGAGGCTTCATTTCACTTACTTTGGGCGTGTTGCTTGGAGAGGCTATTCCTTGGAGAAGGACATCATGCTTGGTAAGGTGGAGGGATAGAGAAGAGGAGGAAAACTCAACTAGATGGATTGACACAGTTGTCATCTGTTCATCGGCAACTTAAGAGCCACACCCTGATGGGGGCAAGCACACCACTCCGGGAGAGGATCAGAGAGTCAATCCAGCTCAATTTTATTGGGAACTGCAGTGCACTTATATACAAGCATGTAAACAGGAAGACTGGATAGGGTGGTTTTACCGACATGAGACATGTGGATTGGTTAGGAGAACCTCAGCTTAATGCAGACCACTCCCAGCTCAACAGACACTGCAGCCGTCTTCCCAGGTGGCAAGCTTTCTCAAGCTGGTACAGCCAAACACAGGGGAGCTTTCTCTATTCTGTATTAAAGGCCATTGGAAGGCTTGCAGTTATCCAGAGCTTAGGTCATCTCTCCTGGCCAGAGGCCCTCCCTTCCTCACCAACATTCCCCAACACACAGTGACTATAGCAATGGGTTCAAGTGTGTCAGAGATTATGAGGTTGACACAGGATAGTATAGAGTTCAGATCTATTGTTCATAGGGTAGCTATGAGTTGTGCTCGACTTGAAGGTCCTTAACAACAACATATGCCATAGATTAGGATTTCTATATTTTCCTCCATTGATCTTTGCAGTTTTAGTTTTCATCCCTACTAGGCCCTTAATTCATCTTGAGTTAGTTTTTGGATAGGATATGGGATTTGAGAATTGCTTTTATTTCCTAAATAAAAGATATCCAGTTTTACCAGCACCAATGTTAAAGCATCTCTCCCCCAGTTTAATGGATTTTATCTCTTTATTAATGAGTAATGACACAGTCCTGAGCCAGTCTGACTAATTTTGACACACCTACCCTCATTGCCCAAGTTACTGTATCAGTGCCTCTCATCCAGGGTCTTCCTCTCCTGCACTGTCCCTCCACTCTTCCAAGCATGTTGTCCTTCTCCAAGGACTGATTCCTCCTGGCCACGTGCCCACAGTATGTGAGACAGAGCTTCAAAATCGTAGCCTCCAAAGAGAAGCTTGGTTTCACTCTCTCCAAGACAGACCTAATGATACAGAGGAGTATGGATTTATTTCTGGGTTCTCAATTAATTTCCTTTGGTCTCTGTCTTTATACCAGTATGACACTGTTTTTATTATTATGCTGTGTCAGAAAGAGTAAGTAACCTACAGCCAGGAGAAGATAAAGTAGATGAATGGGACCTTCTAAGAATCAGATCCCTATGCACATCCAAAAACTTCTCCAACAGGGTAAAAAAGGAAGCCACCGACTGGGAAAAAGTATTTGGTAATGATATATCAGATAAGGGACTTATGTCCAGAATTTATAAAATACTTGAGCACCACAACAAGATAAAGGTAAATAATCCAAAAGAAAAATGGGCACAGGATATGAACAGACACTTCACTGAAGAAGACATTCAGATGGCTAACAAAAACATGAAGAAATGTTCAAAATCCCTACCTCTAAGAGAGATGCAAATTAAAACAACTATGAGATACCATCTCACCCCAGACAGAATAACAAAATTTAACGGAACAGCAAGCAGCAAATGCTGCCAAGGTTGTGGAGAGACTGGAACCCTTATTCACTGTTGGTGGGAGTGTAAAATGGTGCAACCACTGTGGAAGGTGGTATGGCACTTTCTCACAAAGTTGCAAATTGAGATACCATTTGACCCAGCAATTCCACTACTAGAAATATACCCCAAAGAGATCATAACTGACATCCAAACAGATATATGTACACCCATGGGCTTTGTTCACTATAGCAAGGAGTTAGAAACAACCTAAGTGCCCATCAACAAACGAATGGATAGAGAAGCTGTGGTATATTCACACAGTGGAATACTATGCTGCATTGAAAAACAAGGAACTCATACAATATTATTC